ACCACCTACAGGGACCAGGCTGGATCTGTTGGGAAAATGCAACTGGTGCCATTTTTTTAAAAGGTTGTCAGGTGTGGCAAATTTAATAAAGACGCTACCTAGAATATATGTTGTGCTACATTTCTGTTGCATGAAATTTGGCAGAGTTGCAGCTGAAAAATCTTAGAACAGGTTCAATAACATCAGTGCCACTAACTCGTTCCGAGTGTGTTTGCATAATTTTTCATTTTTTATTAGACTCTAATCTTGTGACAAAAAGAAAACTAATTGTTTTTCGAAATTCTCCCAAACATCTCACATCCGTAGTGACCAAGGATCTTCAAGTTGTTGGAGATGTTTTATCAGTTGAAAGTTCCAGGAAATAGCCTAGGCCTTAAGGGGTTAAACGTGTAGGTTTTCCATTGTCCTCTGACTGTATCAAAAGTTGAACATGTTCTCTTTGCTGCTCCCCTCTCACCTAAGAGAAATGATGGACAGGCATGAAGTTTGTGGGGGTGGAGGTTAAGGTGTTGACCACCGGTTTTATGCACATGATGGACAGCACATGGAGTACTTTACTGTGTTGACTGATGGTTCGATCACAGGAAGCAGCTCCATGTCTGCAGCAGCAGCAGCAGCAGCAGCAATTACAATAAATCTCAGCTTCTCCCCTGATTATCTGCCCAACTGAGGAGGGGAAACCATTAACGCTCGCCGCCGCCTGCTCCTCGGTGCACATGTTAATTTGACAGAAAACACAATTGTGTCAGCGCTCACGTGGAACATGTTTTCTCATGCCTACCCAGCCGCGGTGGTCATGGCTGTTACACCGGTGACGTGCACAGTAATTGGGTGAAATCTGGTGTCAGCGTTTCATTCATATGTGGAGAGTCTCTGCCTGTAGCATCGACCCTTCCTGCCTTTGCAGCATCTCATTGTGGTGTTTGTGTAATGCTGAGGGCTGGGAGGCACGGGGGGGAATTGAGTAGTTGTCGGGGTGTGGGGCAGGTGCAGTTTGGCTCCTGGGGGACTGTAATGGGATGAGGCCCAGCCAGAATGAGTGTTTGATGACAGGGTTGCACGCCTCCTCTGGGACTCCGCCTGCATGCAATTATCCTCCTGATCCCTCCTGCTTCTGTCTACAACCCGAAAAGTCTGTAGAAATCTTCCCATCCTGCTGACTCAATATCTGTTCATTTAAAATGTAAAAATCCGACTCTCTCATTGGCTGAAAGATGACGTCATTATAACTGCCAATTTCAAAGCGGTTTTGGAGTAATTAAAGTTTTATGACACCCTCCAGTGTGACATTACAGCACCTCGGGGCAATTGAATCTAGACACACCTCCTTCTCCTCCCTTGTTAATTGCTTTATTAATGGAGAGCTTGCAGGCCCAAAATTAGTTTTTACACAAAATAACATGTTACGCGTCACTGCACTCCACCCACTACAACTGAAATTACTATTTTCATCAGCCATGATTCCAAACTGACTCCTGAACCCTGTCGTTGTTATTGTGATGAGATTCTAAGCTAAAGATGCTCAGTCACGCAGACAAACACAGAAATGCAAATTGTTCCCGCTGCAAAAATCTCGCTCAGCTCCCAACAACAACGAGAAGTGCGTGCCATCCTCAGTTTGTTCTGCACTTTACTTTCTAGTCCCACTTAAACATTTATAAGCACCAAACTAGATTTCACCCACAGTAATGAGGCACAGAAACAGAGACGCCGTTTTCAGAATGGCCGTTTGTCTGCAACGAGAACTGAACCAGAGGAAGGAGATTGCTGTGTTCAATTGGTTTCCCTCCTCAGAAGTGGTTTCCTCCAGTTGCATGTGAGGTGATCTATCACGGCCCATCCAGTTAGTCTCCCCTCCCCCATATCAGATCACGCTGACAGCTTCATACTATGCTCATATAGTATCACACACACAGACAAAGGACGATTAGATTCCACATGATACTCACCGCCGGCAGGTCCTGAGAAATCTAGATACAATCAAGATCACATGTTAGCAGATAACACAGTTTGTTCTTTGTCTTTTGATCTTCTGCACATCATAATTCACATATAGGAAACAGATGTTACTGATTATTTTCATAATCTGTTGGGCTGCTGGTTATTTTCTCAGTTAATTTCTTGGCATCATCAGAATTTCTCAGAAAATAAATACAAGATATGTAATTAAATCTAACGTTAAGACATGACAAACTATTTTACATGTGAGAAGCTAAAACAAAAAACGCAAACAAATCAGTGATTATCGACTTGGTTATTAATTTTTCTCTTGACTGACTAATTAATCAATCACTTCATCACTGCAGCTTGGTTTTCCTTTGTTCTACCAACCAACTCCCTCCCTTTCCTCAACATACAGACGTGTTTTTGCAACCACAGCGCCTCACTGGAGAGTCTGACAGAGCAGATTTTTATGGGGATCTCACACAGAGGACAATGAAAAATCTTCCTCCCAAGCTGCACCAACATGACACCCATTTGCGGCGTTCTTCTCCTCACAGCTTCGCTGCAACAAACCAGATTAAAGCATCGGTCTCTGCCCCCTCGCTGCTCGTCTGATGGCAGTGATCATCAGCAGGCTCTGAGTGGGACACAGGTGTTCGGTGGGGTCCTCCTGCCTCTGTGATCCGTCACCGAGGCCACGCCAGGTTCAGGCTGGAGCGGCTTAGGCACGTGCCGAGGGAGGGCTCTACCCTCCCACGCCCTCCCTCCCCCCTCAGAGGACTCCCTATTCACACCACCAGATGGTGGCTGGGTCTGAGTTTTAATGAATGTTATCCTTCATGACCCTTTAGAAGCTGCAGAACAGCAGTCCCCCTCAGCACGTCGCACTGCAGTTTGTTACCCCACACCGACAGAGAGCAATATTACACTGGATGGAATATAAAGTAAGGGAGGGAATACACGACACCTCAGCTGTAATTTAACATCTAAATGTGCTATTTCCTTGCTCAGAGTAAGACAGAAATGCCACAAATAGACTCATTTTTAGCACCTTCATTTTAGTGAACAGTATCACACCTTTACATAAGTCGGTTGTAGATAATACTATTGTATTACCACAATAACCCTTTTACATTACAGCCTAAACACAGAGGGCAACTTGTTAGTAAAAAGCTGCATTATGTGTCATCAGTAAAAGTGGTTATTTACATTTGCAGCTAAATAGAACACCCGCCTCTCAGATTAAACTGAAGCATGTATGGGCTTCACTTTCAGCTTTCAATCATGTGGTTATTTGTCTGGTATAAATCACGAAGGTTCCAGTAAATATAGATTGATAGAGGCAGAGCACTAAATTGTGGTCTTGATTTTCTTGCAGCCTTCTTGGAGTCAGACAGTAACACTTGTGAATCATCACCACGGCTGCTCACTCGCTCTGCCAGTTATGTGTAAGGCTGTGAATAAGAGTGAGAACCAGCAAATCTAAAAAAGAAATCTGTCAGTGAAACAGCCCAGAGACTACATGCTAAAGCGCTCCTCGGTTGCAATTAGAGGTTTGAAAATTTTCATTAGTTTGTTAAATAAAACTTCCAAAACGGAAAAAAAAAAAATGTATTTAGAAGATTGGAGCAGGTTCGATTTCTTCAGTTGGTTTCTGTGCAGCCTGATGCATACGTTCTTCATTGGTCGGAAATAAATTGGTTGTGTACATGTTGCCCTTTATTCAGTGACCCTTGTCTGTCTCTACGTGAATTGCTTTCACGGCGTGTTAAACGAGCCGTGGTTGTGTTGGTGTTTCCCTCCTCGCGGTGGCCGGGGCTCTAATCCGCTGTCTGACAGAGTTATGTCACACACCAGCTATTGTGGAGGCTTTGATTGAAGACGCCCCGACTAACTAATTGATCCCTCGCCACAGAGGTGCTCTGACACACGGGCGAGATCCGAAATGTGTGAATTGGCAGTCGAGTCACATGACTGGCATTAAGCCAATCAAAATTTATGGGTTTAGATTGTGCTGGAGGCGTCGCTGACAGATGGTGTGAGAGAAACTGAAAATCATTTTAGGTGTGTACAGTTAGAGAAGGGTAAACTGGACACACTGTGCTTTTCTTCCCTTTGCTCATTGCTATTTCTGTGCAGCTCCTTGTCCTTGAAAACAGTTTATTATCAAACCCATCGCTTTACAGATCTGCATAATGAGGAGGTAAACTTAAGAGTTTTTTCAGGTCCTCATGAATCCACAGCTGCAGAATCATTTTTAAACAGCACAAATCAACATTTTGGTGGGTGGATGACATTTATGATGCTGAATGAAACCTTGAATCTCCAGAGAGCCTTTTATCGGTGTAAACTATTCACAGTCCGACAATTATTTTCCGTTTAATTCAGTCACATCACGTGCTGCCACCTCTTACAAGGCAGCATGTGACGCTACCATCTGTCCAAACCCAGTAAGCTCTGCAATTTAACAAATATCCAACTGCACTGACTAAAACAAAAAATGAATAACTTCCATTATCACAAGGCAAATACTCCAATCAAGAATTTATATGAGAAAGAATTAGTCTAGCGTTACACATTTTCAGTCTTACTGGAGCCACAAAATTAACCATTTATATTATGATGTTTTCCAAATGTAATCAATGTGTTGGGTGTCTGTTTGTCTGCAGTTACATTTCATGAATTGAAGAAAAGTGCAGAATAATGAATCAAAAATGTGAGTGGACCAGAAATTTTGCACGGACAACTGGACAGCAGTTAAGTGTGAACTGCCTATTGACGCACATTTTGCACTGAAAAACCAAAGGCTGCAAAACATAGAGATGAATACTATTTCTAGTGTTTTAATACCTGAGTTTTAGTGCTGGCAGCAAAACTTCATCTGATAGATAAGGGTGTCCTTTTCATTCAACAAAAGAAAACAAATTCCCGAAATGCAAAAAGCTGCCAAACCAAAGGCAATGCACAAATCTTAAGTAAGTAAAATGTGGACTAAAATTGGCAAAATTATTATTCTAACTGTCTGATTAGAAATATGGAAGAACATGAGGAGGCAATTCAGTTTCCAGTCATTTATATTAGTCTCAGCCATGGACACATTTTGTTTGGTATGTAAATATATTATCATGTTTAACACACAGAACAAGTCAAACATTTCATCACGATCTAATCAATCATGTGGCTACATTTTGGCCATTTTCACTCCATGTCTGACAGTCACTCGTTTAATGCTGACAGGAGATCTCCCCACACACTCAGACCTCTGACATCAAAGTCTCCATCAGAAATCTTCAAAGCATTTAGTTCTTTTTCTGTATTCACCCTCAGAGAAGGACAGGCTTCGAACAAGGCCATAAAGTGCGCAGTCAGTTTCTGGAAGGACACTGTGGGGATTGTGCTGGTTTGAACCCATTCACCCTCACTTATGCTGTACTCCATGTCTGAGGCCCACTTTTTCAGTACGTCACAGTAAGCATCTCTGAATTTGTTATGTTCTTTTGCCAGGTCTATAAGAAGTGTGGCTGGCAGAGCAGAACACAAGCCCTGCAGCACACTGTGTTTATTCTGCAGCCAGTCCAAAAGGAATTCCTGTGGAGCAGTTTGTGCAGCTGAGTTTTTTGTTGTCAGCAGAGCTGCGGCGATGACTAGACAGAAATGTTGTCCTGCTCCTTCACATCCCTGGAGGACACAGCCTAAAAAGTGCTCTGCTGGGCGGGTGTCGCTGCCTTGGCTCAGCAGAGCACCCAGCCTCTCCACCAGCATCGCCCCCTGCACCTCAGCACCAGCAGCTGACAGGTCTGTCACAGGACTCAGGACCTTGCAAGCCGATTTGCATTGAATAATGTGGCTGCAGAGGCCGGTGACATCCTGATACTGGCCCTGCGTGTTATCCACAGGATTCCTTGTGCCAAAGAGCATCTTCATGATGGAGATGGGCAGTTCAGGATTGTTCAACAGTCCGAGGAGCAACAGGTGCTGGAGCCGGGGAAGATCCGGGAAGCAGACTTTACTGTACCCAGGGATGACATCTTGTAAACTTTGATTTGTGAGCTGCAGCTGCTGCTCCATGACCCTCCTTATGGCGGAGTTGCTGTGGAACCTGGAGAAGACGTGCTCGCAGTATCGGGCCCAGCCAAAGGCCCTGGACACGGTGTGTCTGTCCCACTGCTTCACCGCAGAGCTGTGCGCCGCCACGGCCAGCAGCTCCACCGTGCTCGACAGGTTTTTCAGCACCGCCTCCATGTGGCGCTCTCCGCTTTCACAGTTTAGTTATGGACACCCACTGAGGAGAAAACACACAACCTAAACATTCACACAAACTGTCCCCTGATACTGAAACACCGCCGAGTCGGTGTGTTAGCAGCATGTTAGCAGCATGTTAGCCGGAACCGGAGTCACGTCAACAACCTCTCCTCGTAAACAGAACTTTCCAAACCTTCTTTAAACAGCTGGGTTGTCAACACAAACACTGAATATGAGACATTTCCGTGAGATAACTGTGTGTCGTTAAGTAAACTCACTTGTCTTTGCTGTTTTCTGTCGCACGGTTACAGTTTCATTTGTTTCACAGACCGTATGTGCCGCTTTCGACGCTGCGCATGCGCCTTTGACTGCAGGGGCTCTGCCAACTTCTCTTCATTCAAAATAAAAGCCGTCGAGTAAATAAAATAAATCAGTCCACACATTCTAATTTTGTATTTATCATTTTATTTATGCTTTTTGGCTTGCATTAATTATTTAAAATCTATCTACAAACTTGCTGTCAATGTCATTCAAATGTAGCAGACTAGTCACAGTAAATATATGTATCTGATATGATATCCTTAGGGTCCCATCAGTTGAATCAGATTAGAACTTGGGAAACAACAACAACAACAAAAAAAAAATCCATCACACCAAAATTTCGAAGGACATAATATGTCTGGCTGAAAAAAGTTTTGACTGTTTTTGTTAGTTTTTTTTTTTTTAAGACAAGCCATACTGAAAACTTATTTTCCTTCAAAATAAAAGCCACCGAGCTACACTAAAACAGGACATATTTGGATTTTAATCATTATTTTTTTGCTTACACGCATTTTACGTCATATATTCAATGTATAAGCAACGCTGTCGTTTTTAAGGTCCATGCAACTTGCAAAATTAATTTTCATAAAAGAAAAATCTATTCGTGCATTTCTGAAAAGTTTTTCATAGTTTGCGTGTGTCAGTGAATAATTGTTTTCCTTTCATTTCCAAACACTGCATCAGTATCATTCACTTTCTGTAGGCTAGTCGCGGTAAATAAAATGCACCAAATATGGATCAGATGGCACACTGAAAAAAATAAAAACTCCATTACACCAAAATGTATCGGTGGATATAATATCTGCATAATCCAGTCCAGAAATGTCATAGTGAGGCAACACAAAGAGGAGAAGAGGAGGGAGGCACTGCCAACAGGATCAAACTTCCCTCCCATCATCATCATCATCAGCCGCAGCAGCAGCAGCAGTGTGCTGTGAGTATATCTCTGTATGTGTGTATATGTGCGCAGTCAGATCTTTGTGCAAATGTGCAGCGAGACAGACCTCCTCGGTCCACACTGGTTCAGTGTTTTTGGAGCCTAACCTGTGGGTCGGTGCACCGCTGAGAGAAGCATGAAAACTGGGATCCAGCAGCTCTCAGGACGAGTGAGAAGAAGGTGCGCACAACCGAGCTGAAGCCTCAGGGTGAGCTCAGCTTTTCTGGACTCATTCAGGACATTTTCGCTGCTTTATTGTTGCCATATGAATGTCATACTGTTTACGGTTGGTATGCAGATTCTGTTTTAGGTTTGGATTGTGTCTAGTAACTTTATAGTTAGTGCTTTTCATAGCTCTTCTCAGCAGAAGGTCTGTGCTTTGCAGAATAATGTCATCCTCTGCAGCTCATTGCAAACTTAGTTGACTCTTACTTATTGACAGTTAACTAGTGATGGAAGACTATTTCTTTTGCTTGCTTTTTATTTCTCTCACAAGAAGGCTACTGTGAGGCATTTTTTGATCTCTGAATATTAGGCATTTACTTCAGTAGCAGCTCTCAGTCAGTCCATTGGGTTTTAATTAGTGGGTGCTCTGCTGGATTTCAGTCATAACTCATCAGGCGTTCTCCCTTGATCCTATTTTCCAGAGTGGTAAACTGTCTGCTGTGGCTGTTTTTATTTTGCAACAGTTGTAAAGAAAGAGACAAATTAAAAAAATGTTACTGCAGTTGTAAAGGAAATGTGGAGCCAAGTGTTTTAAAAGGCCAGCACAACACAACACCAACCAAAACAGAGTCCTTGCACTGTTTGTAGAATGTGTGTGTCAGCTTCCTTGACATGTCGTCTGCTTGACATGCTGTTGGTTGGGGTGCAAGGCATTGTAATTGAATGTCTGAGGAAGTCTGTTAGATTACAGAATGATTTGATCTGTAATAAATCTGTGCAGACTCACATCTGGTGTCCTACTAACAACAGGAGCGCTTGTGTTGGAATGTGTCATTTGATATTGTGAATATGTAAACAAACCGTTTGCTGTTGTGGGTTTTCCGTCTCTTCGTGTTAGATCATACGGAAGAATATTCTCTTGTGTTAATATTTACTGCTGGAGGCTTTGTCCTTTACTGACCGCAGCAGCTGATACAGTCTGATACCTGAATGCAATACGAACACACAGTATTTGTCTGCAGCAGAAACATGCTGAGTTCCCTCGTTTAAATGGACAAATCAGCCACCAGATCAGTTTGCTGTTGGAGAGGAGAAAGGCATGAAGGGAAGTGAGGGTGAGGAGGACAGAGACACTCTTGTAAGTTCTAATTGATGTGATTCAGCAGTCGAAATTCCCATCCATATGTCTTTCCTGGAGCGATCTTCAGCCAACCATGGCATGTTACGATAGCTCCACTGAAGTCATGAGGCTCTCAGAGTGAGGAAATCTATATTTATATCCCTGTATGTTTGAATATTCCCCCCCCACCCCCAGCTAAGGGAGCTTATTTCTTCCTGATTCCAGAAAGTGCAGCATCAGTTTCTGAACCTGTTTATGAAAATAACCCACAAGTTCAGCAGACGGTGCATACAGGCTGGCAGAGCGGTGTTGGCTGGGGTTTGGGCCTACAGTTGAAGAGGTCAGGCTACAGTGTGGTGAGAGGAACCAGGTATGTTCGACAACAGCGGGTTGTTTGTTTTGGGCGCGTTTCTGGGGGAAAGTGGGGCAAATCCAGCCTGTCGAGAACAAGACAGCATTTGAACAAAATGTAGATCGATTGAGCAGAAAATAATCTGTATTGCATGTAACATATGTATTAAAACAGCTAATTAAAAACACTTTTGATGCGCTTTCTGCTAATCCAGTTTTGTATTAAAACATATCGGAATCCTGCAGTTCATCACGGTTCTCATTCTACAGTAATAATAAGTAAATATACAACATCTGAAACAAGGAGTAAAACTTCTGCTTCCCCTGACACGTGTCCAATCCTCATGTTTGTATTTACACATAGCAGCAGAGAATGAGCTTGTATTCAAGGGTCTCGCGCTGTGAGACACGGCACGTTGTCCCACTGCCCTTGTTCCGTCTGTTAGCCTTCACCTCAGTGGACGTGGGAATGTAGCGTCTGTGTGCGAGTGCTGAGCCTCAGAGTTTAGTGTGTGTACGCAGCAAGTAGCTGTTGTCTTCACAAAGATAAAATGACCTTGGTCCGACATCAAGGTCCTGATGTCCAGTTTTGCAGCACGGTGCGATTTGGTTACATCCAACTCCGGGGGGACCTTGAAATGTTACACAGCCTTAAAGGTCAGATTCCTCACATTGTGATACACTCCCTCGGTATTCAGAGGAAAATTTCAGCCAACTCACACTATGAACTAATTGTTCGCAGCAGCTATGCTTCCTTGTTTGAATAAGCTTCCCTTACAATTTGCATGAAAAGTCCTGTTGATATTTGCCTGCGTTGGGGAGCGTGAGATTTTCCTGCTTGTATCCACCCTGGAAGCAAAGCCTCTAAAATGGAACAACTAGATTACAGTGTGAGAGTGTGAACTGTTGCTGTAATTCAGCCTGAACAAAGACTTTACAAGAAGAAACAAGTAGAACAAAAGGTCATATCAGTTATATTACAAATGTATGTTGCTGGGTAATCCGTAACAATAGAAAAGTGAAGAACTCTCATTTAAGAAAGCTCATTGGCTGCCTATAATTTGCATTATAAACCTTTTTTTTTCTTTAACAAATTCTTACATTTGTGATTTTAATGATAAAAGCCCTTCTACTACAACAGCATTTGGAGCAAGCATTGAATTTAAAAAAAACAACCATTTATATCCTTGTGTTGCCTCCATCTCCGTCCTCTGAGGTCGTCTCCTATCTGTCTGCTTCACTTAGCTTTTCCCCGTCAGCGTGCTTTGCAGAGGTAATGGCAGCTCACACATTTACACAGTGAATATTAACTGCAGAGCTGTCGATGTGTGTTGTTACCCTGCTCAGGTCTTACATCTGGTGCCCAGTTGTTTTGTCAATTACTCACTCTCCTCTCCGGCAAATCCATTAATGGAGTGACACTGGACTGAAATCTGAAAGATTTTCACATTACAGCTCATACAGTGAACACTTGGCACGCCGCGGCACGGTATTGGAAAAGGTTGTGAGAAATGTCTCATTTAGTCAATGACTTCACTTTACAAGAAATAAGCAGCTGTTAAATATCGCTCTTAATATTGATGTCAAATGCAATCTATCCATCAGGCTGTAATGTAAGGCCTGCTGCAGCGCCGGCCGTATTGGATTGATATAGTCTGTAGGATAGACTGCGTTAGAGAGAGCAGAGTAATGTGAAGGAGCTCTTTGTTTGTGTCTGCTGTTTGTTGAATAAAAGTCTTACTGTATGAGTCTGGCTGGTATCAAAGTGTCTCTTGTCAAATGAAGAAGCAGACAGGACTGGTGCTGTCTAATTTCATCAGGTGGATTGTAATCCATACTCGGATTCAGCCAGGAGGACAAAGGTACTCAGATCCCTTTTGTCCTGTATGAGTCTGATCCCGTCCTACTTCTGTTGGGAATATGGCGCCTGAATCACAGCTGTGACTGAAGAATATCAACATGTAGATTAATGTAACTGCTGGGTTTAAGCTCATCAAATGAAAGGATCCATGGCTTTACTCTGTTTTACATCACTGTCATTTAGGTACAAGACCGCTGGTGAGTTAGGATACGATGTTGACAGACTGTATTGTGGACTCTGAGAAATAATAAAGTGAAATTCTACATTTTTTTCTGACATTTAAATGAATCTGTCAATAAAAAATGATCAGCAGAATCAGTAATGAGAAGTAGCTGCAGCTCTTATGTAGGCCAGGAAGTAATGTACACATATTACATTTATACAGTTAACCATATATCATGCAAAACATTACCCAAATACACCTCTAGCATACTCACAGTACTTCATATGCATATACATATACAGGGGAGAACAGGATGTATTTAGATGCTTGAAATGTGGCTACAAGATCTCACATGGAGCTGATTGAACATCTGGATAAGCTTCATGAATGATTTTTTTTTTGCAGATCTGTTGCATTTTATGACATTGCTGTTACTTATACATGCCCGTTCACCGACTTCCATCATTCCATATGACTACAGTTTCTCTGCCTGCATACAGACATGTATAAATTCTCCTGTCTTATATCTCCTTCCTCTTCTGTCTTCAGGCCGTCATTAGGGAACCATGTGCAGCTCCCTGAGCCCCAAGCAGCCCAGCGGCCCGGGCCTGACAGACATGCAGCAGTATCAGCAGTGGCTCTCCAGCAGACATGAAGCCAGCCTGCTGCCCATGAAGGAAGACCTGGCCCTGTGGCTCACTAATATGCTCGGTAAGCTGCACTTAAAAATCAATACACAAATGCATCTATACTGTTAAATCTCCCATCTGAATATTCTGACTTTGCAATACATATGAATTTTCAACCAATGAAAACTTGTGAGGGTTATGCCTCCATAAGGACAAATGTGTTGTAAATACAGCAAAATACAACTTGCTGCTGCTGATTCATTTAAAATACTGTCCTAGAAGTAACGTAGCTTTTTAAAATCCTGTACCTTTCCTATTCTTCTCTTTAACATTAATTGAACCGGTGTTGCTGATGTAAACACTTCTGCAGGGGACTGTAATCAATCTGAACCTCATTACGTTGTATTTTAAAGTCACCAGACTGTGTGAACCAGCTTTAGTGTCCCAATTCTCTCCCATAGATTTATCTTAAATGAATAATGGACATCATTAACCTTGCTTAAATAACGCACAGCCAGTGGTGGAGAATAAGCAGCGAGGGGAGCGTCAGCATCGTACAAGGACGCTGTTGCATAAAAATCTTGCTGTGCTGTGTGGTTCTTCAGCAGTGCAGCCACAAAACAAATGCATGTGATTTGAATTTAGCAAGATACAGCAATTTAGGAGAATGGTTTATTTGTTGGTTTGATGTTTTTTAACAACCACATGGCAAGTAGGTGTACACTAAAACATTAAATATGGCTATCATGAATGAAAACACCAAGTTGAGTTCATGTTTCCGCATCATTCTTTGTCTAATTTGTTATATTCCAATTGGTTTAACTGTGGCACCAACGACTGACTGGAGTCAACACAAAAATGTACTTGTTAGCAAAATGCAAATTCTTAGAATTTCTCCACCAGTTTAAGAATTAGGCAGTTGTTTGTTGAATTTCTGAGGCAAACTGTCTGTTAATAAATACTTTATCAGCATGTCAAGTTTTTTTCAAAACTATAGATTTTAGGAAGAGAAGCAGTCTACAGATACACAACAATAGCAGTATTATTTCTTCAGAATTTGCTTTGGAACTGTGTGCATTTAGTTAATGACTGGGAGTTACTCCAGGGGACATCCTGCTGAGTATACGCAGTCCAACACACCAACTGGAAGCCAGTCCGGTTCCTGAAACTGATGCCTGCTTGTGTGTGAACAAGTTAAAACAACGTAACTATCCTCGCTGTTATCTCTGGCGGTCTGTGGTGTTTGCACTGGAACCAGTTGAGCCAGAAACCTCTGGTGTGGTGCGCTGACGGATCAAGGACCTACAGACTTGAGAAGCAGAAACGTCCGTGTGTTTCCTGCAAAGACACAGCAGTTTGTTGGTTTAAGCCAAGTTCTGTATGCTTGGTTCATTTAAATTCTAAGAGAGAGGGCGATGATATTCTTAATTACAGTTTCGGGTGGGAGGAGCAGTGCGGTTGGCTGATTGAGTGGGAGGTGAAAGCCTGGTTCTGCTGATGACTCATATTGTTGTGGAGACATTAGGTTGAGGCAGCTTATGTGACTGAATATTCGAGTTTACATATTTCTATTAGACCCCTCGCTAATATATTTCCTCACACAGCGAGGGTTGTGTAGGATAGAGTATGAGCATAAGACTGGAACTCACTGAGTATTTCTCAAGATTTCAATCTCTCTTTTCTGGGCTCAATTGCAACATTTGGAACTCATTAAACATCGAACCCCCAAACCCCTCCTCCTATAAGAAACAGAAAGGGGATAAAAAAAAAAAAAAATGTCTCCAGTTTCTTTCCACAGACACCCCCCTGCCACCACCTCCTATTTCACAGTGATCTAACTATGAAAGAATGGTCCTCTGGAAGTCAGTCAACTGGACACCACATGTTGATCACCAATGTATCTCTGCAACTGTGCAGGATAATGAGGCCTTACCGTGCACACACACACAGATGCCCCCTTTTCTTGTGTCCTCGTCTTAGCTGTGCTGTGATGTACTACCAGGAAATCCCCTCACATTCTCCCAAATCATGTTGTAATATTTCAAAAATTGGCTTCCACAGAGCTGCCACAGACCTGGCAGTAAAAGTGAGGCTCGATCATTAAAGCCCTTTCTGAGAGTCAACAACATTGCATTGGGTTCAGTTTCAACTATCAAGAGACTGAAGGATAAACTTTCTGCCCTTACACAGTATATATATATAACTTAAATGAGCATTTTATAATGGATTTAGGGTGTTGGACTGTCTGCTGTCTTTATGTGTCCCCTGCTCAGGTCTGGAAATCACTGCTGAGACCTTCATGGATCGCTTAGACAATGGCTCCCTGTTGTGCCAGCTGGCTGAGACACTACAGGAGAAGTTCAGGCAAAGTAATGGATACCTGCCTGCCCTTGGCAACAGCAAGGTACAGGATTGCAATGGTCTAGTGTGATACGGGTTACAGTGAAAACACTAATCTGGAAGCTAAATCTTGACTGAGAGTGTTCCCAGACTAACTTTCAGCTTGAATGATTTCACAGAGGATCATTACTGAGCAGGGAAACATCACTCAAGCAGCGACTTATTAGATCAGATTGACTGACAAACACTTTGGTCTCAGCTGTTTTAACAGCTCCCCTGCTCAAATACACGTGTTAATCATTTTTGTGCATTGCAATGTAAATTATTTCTCAAAATCACTATTTTTTTCTGTAATTTATTGAGACCAGACAGCTACAAGACAACACAATTAAACTTTGATCGACTCTCGCTGAGACAGGAAATAGCTGTGCCATGATCAGGTTTCCCTTTAGAGGATCAATAAAAGAAGATCAGCTCTGTTCCCACCCATCTCAAAGACATACTGATACCCTGACATCTGGAGAATAATAGACACAGAGAGACACTCTGAAATATAGTTTTTAAAAATGATAAAACACATTTATTTGGTTTCCACCTTCTCCATATGTCTGTTTTGAGAGATCAACAGCAGCCATGAATTCCTACTTTGCTAAGAGCTCCAAAAATTTCAGAACAAAGTGCACAAAGAGTGAGGTGGGGGGATGGGAGACTGCAGCCTCCAACAGGGCAGAAAGGGGGAAAAAAAATAAAGCTATAAGGACACATTATCTGACAAAGCCTCACAAACCCTGAGAGAATTAGGAAAAGTCAAGTTGACCTTATTTAAACAGCTCATTAAAAACAACAGAAGTTGACTCAAAGTGACTTTCAGTTTGGATGAACAAATATGCACGAGTACAAAGAAAAGAAGAAAGTAATAATAGTCGCCTCATGGCACCTAATATTCTATAAGCTTAGTTATGATTGCTGAGTACATTAACGTCAGCGTAAGTTTATTGTTTTCAGCACATTGCTGACGAATCAAAGGTCAAAATAAAAATGTTCATCTTCTATCTCTACTTTTGTCCAATCGATAGAAACCCCACAGGCATGTTCTCAACTCCAGGATTTCAAATATCAAAAGACATTTGTCTCAGTCTGCAGTGCTGAATCATTATCTTGCACACATGCTCCATTTTTTTCAACATCTACAGATATCTATGTCACTTTCACACTGATCTGACATCTGGTGGTGTTCAGTAGGATAATACGTTTCCAACAGAGGGAATCACTGATTAGCTCATGTGTCTGTTCAGAAGGAAAGAAGCTAAAGACTCTTTTGTTAGGTCGTCAGTGAAAGTTGTTGATGTTTGCACTGAGGCATTACTGTGCTGATGACGATGGGTCTCCTGATCTCAGTGTGAGTGCAGCTGCACAGATGTGAGGAAATACTTGAGGTCAATGACCGTGGGACGGCAGAGGAGCTACTGAAATAGAGGAGCCTATTGATTGCAATAGAGAGAGAGAGACAGAGAGAGAGAGCAGAGGAGTCTTGGGACAGATCGTCAACTCGGGCTTTAAAATCAAACAACGTTGCATTATGATTCTGTGCCGTGTGCTTGATTGATGGCTTCTTATACATCACATTAAGAGCTTTCAGCTTAATGATCTATGAGTGATGATTTATGTTTTCCATGTCTGATACACTGTGTCTCATCTTATGACATTTTAAGCTAATTGTGACACTTTACAAGCTGTAATTGTTTGCTGATACATTTTACCACTTCAAAGAAAACTTCCATCTGTGTTCAAGCCCTGTTTTAAGTTGATGTGGTGTTGGAGTGGGCCTACTGTGAGTGACTGCAGCAGAGAGCAACAATAAATCAACTTTTATAGACGCCGCCTCCTGCACATCTTCCCATGTGTTTACATCAGTCAGTATCAACTACAGATTAATGAAGATTATATGTCTTTCTAGTCCTAATCCTACCATGTGACAAATTCAACACAACCATCTCATTATCTGGTAAAATTTATAGTCAGACCACTAAAATTTAAAGCAAAGGTTTGATGTTGTAGGAAATACTCATATCTGGTTTCTGCCAGAGAGTTGAATGACAGAATCAGACATCCAAGAAAAATAACATTGACCGAAACACATATTTGAGTGTACGGGGACTACACTCAAAGCTGGTTAGGTTAGCAGAAAGAGCAGAAACAGAGGGGGGAAGTAGTCTAGCTCTATCTAAAGGCCAAAACATCTGCCACATAGAGATCCCTCCAGTGAAAATCAAGTTTTTTTTACCTTGTTAACATGTCTATATGGTGTTTTTTTTAATGCTGGAAGACACATCATGAGAGAAATAAGCAGTCAACATCATGGGTGAGTGTAGTGATGACAAACTCATTGATTCAGACTTACAGGGTTTCATATGTCACAAACCTGAGGAACCAATCATGTCAGCTGGCAGAGCTTTCCATATTCTTGTTCTTCTTTAAAAAAAAAAAAAAAAAAGGTTTCTGGTTCAAAAAATTTGCCATTGTGTGGCATAGAGTAGTTTTACAGTGTTTGAGCAGAGCTGTAGGTGAGCTGGTGTGCTTGAGCTGCAACATGTGATGGAGTGGGTAAATATAGAGGTTCGGGCTTCGTAGATCTGCACATTTCGGTGGAACTGTAACCACATCTAAACCATTTTAATGCATGAAGGGGTTGTTTTCATGAAATAAAAAAGTAAAAGTATGGGGTTTAATTAATCACCAGAAAGGGAGTTAAGGCTAACTACAGGTAGCTTTATGTCCAACAGAAAGATATGACAGTGGTAAAATATTCTTATCTAACTCTCAGCAAGAAAATCAATGTATTTCCCAAGTTGTTAAACTATTCCTTTGTGTGCGCATGCAGACAGTGGACGGTGTTTGTAGTGTTTCTGACTGAAGGAAAATGATGTGATTCTCACTGTCAATGCTCATTTCAAGCAAAGTAGTTCCTTTTCCCTATTTTTAGTCTCCATCTGTTTAAAGATAATGTTTTCCAGAAGTCCTGTACCTTCTGTGCAATCATTAGTCACACAAAGGTGCAGATAATTCAGCGAGCCACAGTAGGAATAATAACACGTCATTCTGATTGTTAGATCAGACAATGTAGCCAAAATAATTTCTCAAGGAATGCAAAGTAATTCAACAACACAAAAGATCCCTGAAAAAAAAAAGAAGTCAAAAGGAGAACCTGGAATGAAAAGAAAAATACCCACAAAAGCGTGCATATTTCCAGCATGAGCTCACTGCACCTTTCTCAAAGCACAGACACACATATCCTGTATAAAACCACAGCAAGGCACATAAATCTCCCTGAACAGACCGTGTGGGGGCTGAAACCCATAGGCAGGATATTTGATCCCAAATCATAGAAGGCCTGGTAAAGTAGCCCCAGTTTTCTTAGCCGTCATCTCCCATATTGATCTGTGTGGAAAAGGTCCTTGATCCTGCGTTGAAACCAGAGCCTCAGCAGATGGAGCAGACGTCGGCATAGATAAAGAGTGTGTGCCTCTGTGTTTTGATGGAAACTCTGGGGGGCTGGATTGAACAAGTCACTCTGATAGACGTCTGTTCTCTCATTGTCAAACACAAAGTGAGTCAAAAGTGCTATTTAAGTGAGAGTGAGGGGATGTTTTCCATCTCAGGTTTATACTAACTCGTCTTTGTCTGTAGCAGAGCGTTCCCTATCGGAGGATACCATGTCGCCGGAGCGCTCCATCTGGCTCTTTCTTTGCACGAGACAACACAGCCAACTTCCTGGCCTGGTGTCGTGAGGTTGGAGTTGGAGAAACATGTCTGTTTGAGTCAGAGGGTTTAGGTGAGTCTGTTGTTTCGCAGCCACAAACACCAGAATGTGAAAAAAATAAATCAGAATGTAGGACAAACCGGGTCAACAAACAGGCATCAGTTTACTTCACAGAGATGTAACACTGTTGGGCCTTTGGCTGTCCCTGGCACTGCCAGGGCAACGGGCTCAGATTTCTATCATCCTGTGAATGGCTTGATTGTGCAGGTACAATATCACGCAGGCTGGACTGCTTCCCTCTTCCTCCCCTCTGAGGCTCACACACCTCACATCTCCAGGCTCTGCTGCACCTCCTCTGACATCCACACAAAGCTCTCAAGGGCAGCAGTCTGCAGGGAGCACAGGGAAGGGAGCAGCTCCACCTCACAATAAGGACATCTCAGATACATGCAAAAAAAAAATGTCTAGAATAAAAACAAAGGGAGCACAGACAGAAGGGTGTGAGTTAGTGAAAAAGTAGGCCAACATTATGCAAATGGTTTCCTCAGCTCAGAGCAGGGATATTTTTCTCTTCCTCATTCAGACAATGTTTTATCTACGTCTCTCTAATCAATGGCAAAGATTCCGTGCGTGCTATTTCAATGAAATATGCTGGCAGCTAAGATATGCCTGGGCTGGAATATTGTCCTTACAATTAGATGTACAGTGTGTGACCGAGCCAGTCATAGAAATACTGAGAATATCCAGCACATTCTTGTCATTTCTGACTAAAGGTTGGTCAGCCATCGCTAAATAATTTAAAGTGTGCAAATATTTCTGGTTGCCAAGTCACACACTGATATCCACGCTGAGCTATAAACACCTACACATGCAGTAGACATGTAATTGTGATGAAATGCTGTGAAAATACTTCAGCAAACAAAAACAGCTGACAAATGTCTCTTTTCTGTATTTATCTCTCTCTCCATCTTTCCACCTTCCTTCCTTTCACTGGGCGGATTTATCAGTTCAGCAGTAGATGTAACAACACCAGGTTTGCTATCATGTAGTGGATATTCTGTCTGTAACGCATGGTGTGCTGTGTCCCACGTATCATACTTCTTATGTCCACTCTTGCTGTCTGATCTGATATTTGGTGAGGGTAAAATAACATGTCAAGTCTACAGGAACACCCAAAGTCTGAACAGAACTCACATCCATTTGATGTAACACGATTGCAAAGGAGAGCACCATTTGAATGCATGAAGTTCATGAGCTTGTTTTTATCACCATCACACAGCCACTCATCATCACTCATCGCCTTTTTCCGGCACAACGTCTTGCTGTAATTACTCAAAGCTAAATCTCCTCTGATCTCTTTCTCTAGTTCTTCATAAGCAGCCACGGGAAGTGTGCCTCTGTCTGCTAGAGCTGGGCCGGATAGCATCACGGTATCTTCTTGCTTTTTATATTTTCTCTCTATTTCACTTCATCCATTTCCCAATCTTTGAATATGTTTTGTAAATCTGTTCAGAATTTTACACTTGTTTCCTTGTGTAGGTACAATGTGGAGCCTCCGGGCCTCATAAAACTGGAGAAAGAGATTGAACAAGAAGAGACGGCACCTCTACCTCCTCCATCACCTGTCTCCCCAGCTCAGCCCCTCCCCGTTTCTCCCTCCTCGTCGCCTTCCCCGTCTCCTTCCCCGTCGTCTCCTTCCCAATCCCCGACTCCTACCAAAGTGACTTCCAGCAAAAAAAGTACAGGGAAGCAGTTGGATGATGCTGTAAGTCACTTGCGATGCACTGCTTGTTTGGTTTAGACATACAAAGAGGAAACAAATGTGAAATGTATTTTTATATGTGTTACAGGTGAGACATATCGCTGATGATCCACCCTGCAGGTGTGTGAATAAATTCTGCGTGGAGAGACAGTCGCAGGGTCGATACCGTGTTGGGGAGAAGATGCTCTTTATACGGGTGAGTGTAGGGGTGTCACTGAATAATATGATGTGAGGGTTAGACGGATTCAGCATCAGGTGTTGGCAGATCATTTGGTTTTGCGTAGTGAGAGTGTTTAGTCTTAATTTAGGATTGTTAGCAGCAACAGCAACGGTGCTTTAGTGTTATTTTATTGATTAGCACTAAAACTGTTGAGGAAGGGCCAGGTGGCGCTCAGTCAAAGTACTTCATCAGTGGTACTCGAGCTCGATATTGAGATAGCGCCTCTATTTTATGGCATTATGCTACAGCTTAGAGGTAAATATTGTATTTTTTTTACTCCACTACATTATGTAATATTATGTATCATGGTCCAATGAAATGTGGTGAAGCAAGCTGTACATAATAATACTTGTATTAAAAATCTCAAACAAACATATGACGGCTTGATATGAAAATATATCTATGTAACTTTGGAGAATTAGTCTAAATGTTTAATGAGAATTTCAGATTTTAGAGCATAGCAAAAGTACATAGAATTTTTTAAAGGTTTTTTTTTAAATTTTGATTCTGAATTCATCCATTTTATTCAATCCATTTTATTGAATATCCAATTTTATTTGCCAGGTTAACAACAATAATGTCTCACACTGCAAAGCAAACCCTTTCCACACATGCAGCATATGGTAGTATGGTGATGCTTGGGGTTGGCTTAGGGATGAAAGTCACCCATTCTGTCTGGAGAGCCAAGTTTTTTGTATTCAGGTCTCATTTATGGCTAATGGTGTTCTGACAATGTCCATTTTCAGCCAAACGTAATGTGGTTTACTAGCTGTAAAGACGAAGCAACATCTACAGATTCCTTCAAAAATGTATTTGCTGTCAAACAAAACCTGCCGTTCAGTTATTTACATCTTATAATCACAATGAATTAATTAGGCCAGGAAATGTTGCTCTACTTTCTCTGAGTGGAGGGATATTTGAGGAAAACAAATAGAGGCTAACAGATTTGAGAAGTAGCATCGGTCCCCTTGGGATCCCGGTTACTTGGCAACCCACAACCAGGATTCACACCTCCAAGAATGTGATTCATGCTGTCGGTATGTTTAGGATGTGCAGACGTGCAAAAGAGACTTTACTCTTGGATGTCCTCTGCTGTCAGCCCACTATATTGCAACTACTAATGTCAAACTCAAACCAAATCGAATCTCAATCACTGTGAGGTTTGGATGAACAAAGCTGTTTTGTGATATTTTTGAGAACAATATTAGGACAATTCTTGTTTTGTAATATAAAAGTATTTCCAGGTAGAACAACACGAGATGTGATGTAAATCTGAATATTTACCATCATTTGATGCTTTTTTGATGACTGAATGCTTCAGTCTTCATGGTGTTGCTGAGCAACCAAGGACAAATGGTGAGAAGCTCATGTGTTGGTTGAGTGCAGTCTGTTGTGCAGCAATCACTGCCGAGCCACAACATTAAAACCACATGCCCAACGTGTAAGTCCAGCTTGTGCTGGCAAAATAGCTCTGAGCCATTTGGGTATGGACCTCTGGGGTCTCCTGTAGTCTCTGGCACCATAACATTGGCAGCAGTTCCTTTAGGTCCTGTGGGTTGCAGCCTTTGTAGATCGAGCTTGTTCCAATGCATCCTGTGGATGATCGATTGGGATCTGGGGAGTTTGGAGGCCTTGGGCTCTTCGTTATGTTCCTAAGCAGGTTTTGCAGCTGTCAGTTAGTGCTGTTGCCATGGTGGTGTGTGCTTGAACTGCTGCAATGTTTAGGTGGGTGGTACAAGTCAGTAACATCTACATGAATGCAGGACCCAAGGTTCCCTGCAGAACACTGCATTGTAATCAGATGATCAATGTTATACTCTTCACCTGTCCCTATTTTTAATATTGCGGTTGATCAGTGTATTTTCTACTTGCATACTAGGTAAGTAAAGTATAGTTTTATTTTTATGACCAACATGACAGTTAAATTTCAGAGGGCTTGAGATTCTGTTCAAACAAGAAAAACATTTAAACATCAAGGTGAGCAACAGAGGCGGTATTCCTCTTCCAGAGCTGACAGTCACACAATATACATCATGTAAAGAGAGTAAACAGAATTAAACACTAGTAAAATTATGTTTTATCATATGTGAGTTACAGCTTTTTGATTAGGCCAAGCAAAGCAAGTGTTAAGCCTCCATTCCTCTGTCCGTCAGCCAGCGCTTTTCACAGTGAAGATGCTTTAATTAAAATTCCTCGCGTGTTTTTTTTTTTCCCCCCAGCAGCTGCTCGCACTGAAAAGACATGACTACAGCAAAGCCGCTCACAGTCTGTAGGCAGCTAGGACCGAGGACAGCAGTGACGTCTGGCAGATATAAGAGCCTCACTTCACAATAATCTGTGCAGCCTGAGAGACTGACCTTCTCCGCTCTTGAAATAAACAAGCTGGTTGTACCTCTACCAAGAGGGCAGAAAAATATCAGGCTGTTTGTGAGAAGTGTTGTCTCAGCTCAGCCCCAGGCCCCTGCCCTTCTCCGGGCCGCTGAGGAGGGACTCGGCTCCGGCAAGGGTCTCGTCCCAAAACAGCATGATTGAAACCCCTCTGCATCGCACAGCTCCATTAAATCCACAGTCACAACGCCTGAGGCCTGGCGCTGGTGATTGGAGGCACTGCCCCAACGCTGCCCCCTAGATTGATTCCTTTAAGAGGCTTATAAATGTTGTATGTTACGCTGCTAGGGGGCAGGAGGTCTCATATCGGCCAAACGAAGGTGACAGTCTCATTAGATAGTTTACCCTTTTTATCAAACTATTTGGTTTGGTACCTAAATCATTCTACTACTGATTGTGTTTTTAAAGACAAACACAGCATCCTAATAATCTGTTTAGTTAGTCGTCTTCGGAAAGGGGCATTCAGTAAACAAGCTTGTTGGTGTAATGGTGTGTTAATGAGGGAGAGGGGCCATAAGCCTCCACAGTGAGGCGCACATGTTTTATGCCTCAGCCTCTGGGGAATGCAAGTGTCTGATCATCCAATATACCGGAGCCTTTTATTCCTTCTCTTTATTATAATGGCTGATGTTGCCATGGCAGCCAACCTTGAGAATGTGCCCTGATGTGGCAGGTGGCATCATTTTGAATCAGGAAAAAAAAAACAAAAAAAAACACCGCATATAATTCCTTGGCTAATCAGAGCACATCATTTTAAGGTTTTGAGCTTCTTAGTGATGAATAGCCTGATTATTTTTAAGCCTGGCTGCAGGGATGAGGAAGGTGGTCTGTCTGTTGGTCCGTCCAATACTTTGTAGTAACACAAACTTCTGGGCAGGCTGCCATAAAATTGAAGAATGAATCCCAGTGACAGTGGTGTTCCCCTGACTTGCTCTCTATTGCTACCAATAGGCTGACTTTTTTAAGCTTTTGGTGAAAAATCATCAGAAAGGATTGCAATTATATTTGGAACAGACAGGATGGATTCTAATGACTTGTGATCCCCTCAACATATTTTTGGACTTTGTGGGAGGAAGCCAGAGAACCCAGAGAGAACCCACACTGCACGGGGAGAACATGCAAACTCCACGCAGAAAGATCCCAGGCGTCCTCACCAGGATGTGAACCGGCAACCTTCTTGCTGCAAGGCAATGATGCTAACCACTGCGCCACCTTGCAGCCTTCTACCTGCATTCAGTCGATTATTTGTGTGTATCGAAGTTACATATTTATATTTTTTTCCTTGAAAACAATCTCTTCCTCTCTTAAAACGACTTAGAGGAAACTCTACAGTGTCGCTTGCTTTAAAATGTGCAAATCCATGAAGGCTTTGACTGCTTTTGTTTGGTAATGACAAGTTTTCTAGCATATAAACAAACACCATATGGACATGTTAACAAGGCAAAAGCCTTAAATTCACCGGTGGGTAACATAACAATCAAAGTTAAAGTTTGTTCAGGTGTTATACAGTGAAAATTGCTTCTCAAGAAGAATAACCACATCAGTTTATTCATGAATTATCAGAAAAAGATAGAGGTTTAAGTTGAAGTGGTGAAACAATCTGTTGGCTGCAGAATGAGGGTGGCAGCAATGTCCATATAGGGAGGAGGTTGGGGTGGATGAATGGGTCTTTAACACCTACGGGAGACTGCAGTTTGTTTTACTGGTTCCATTTATGACCACAGTCGTTAACAGCACATTTATTATGGTAAAACATAATATACAGCAAAGGTGCTGCAACATAAATAAAGTAGGCATTTCAACCCAAATCAGTAGCTAAGTAGTTACTAAGTAGCAGCAGCATCATCAAATTAAAACTTTTAAGATTGTCCAATATTTTGGCTTATGACTAAATACCTGCTCATGGCATTCTAGCCTCAGTAATTGTGTTTAGCTGTAATGAGGAATTATTTCATTTTATATTCATATTACCATTGTTTACATTGTGTCTCTTAAACGTTAGCATGGCTGTCAAACAATGAGATAGCTCTATCAGCTTTGTGACTGTCAGCAGCAGGTCAATACAGCATTGGAGCATTGGGGTGGTAGTGTAAAGAAAGCTTCCCTCCAGGGAAACCATCCACTGCAGGGCCGCCCCACATCAATCAAAAGGCTTTGACATCAAAGCCATGCTTAAATGTTCATTCAACTTCAACCCAAAGCCTCAATCATGGAAATTACATTAGTTCTATAGAGGGCCTCAGCAGCAACCATTAAAGCTCCCCTTTGACAAACCTACATCCCATCATAATCCTATTTCTTCTGCAGATGCTGCACAACAAGCATGTGATGGTGCGAGTCGGTGGAGGCTGGGAGACCTTTGAGAGCTACCTGCTGAAACACGACCCGTGCCGCATGCTCCAAATTTCCCGAGTGGAGGGCAAGACGTCCCCCGTCGGCAGCAAGTGCCCCAACATCAAGGACCTCACCCCGGACAGCTACCTGGTGGTGGCAGCCCACTACCGCAGCAAAAAATAAAGACTGGAAAGTGCCATTAATGAAAGGACACAGAGGATGACCTCGTGCTGAGCAACATATCCCATGTTCTTAGTAACATTAAAGCTATCGTGCAGCAGCATTCGTGGAGAGCACACTGTGTAAGAATGACAGTTTGGTTTTCTTGAATCCAGGTGTGTTTTTAATTAGATGAAGCTTAGAATTACACTCGTGGGCCCTTGATGTTGCTTTTTTTTTTTAGTTTTACAGAACTGCTTTGAAAAATGTGTTGATCTTTACATTGTAATGGTTTAACTTGGGACAGCAGAAGGTGTAGATTTTTTTTTTAGCTTTGTTTTTCAATCATGAAGCAATACATGACCTAGAGTAGGTATTATCAGTCTTTACCACACACCCCTGCTATAAGTAGTGTAACCGGCCTATGGCACATGACTGCATAAACACAACTTTAAAATAGAAAAAAGAAATTGAGCAAGTGGTGGAGATTTCAGCACCTTTGTGAAGCCAGTGCCTTTGTGTGTGTGCTCTACAAGAGAAGAAGTTTTTCTAAATCACTTACAGCACATTAGCTTTAGTGGGAAACGCCTCAAACTGAACTTTAACTGAAGTTGAAACCTTACTACCCAAAGAAAATGGCCAAAGTTTTACATGATTGTTTATATAGTATTCTTATAAAAACTGACATATCTCTCATAGATCATTCGTCATGAAATGTTGCAGCTTTTACTTCATGATGTATTTCTTAGTAGGCTCACAAAATGAAGAAATGCTTATATTTTTTACATCTTGAATAACTACTCTATGCAGTGCATTTTATACTATTAGCGTTTATTTGTATTATTCATTATTAGAATAGCTCCTATGTTATATAATTACTATACAGACAATCACATGTACAAATGAACCTGACTCAACTGCGTTTCTTCAGTTTGTTGTATGTTACTGACCTCTAGAGGCAGGGCAATCATTTAACCGCGATCCACTCAGTGCATTTATTTGTACAGCTTTATTCCTGAAAAATTAAAGTGTCAGTTTGATAGATCATTGGTTGTACACACAGTAAATAGACTCCCTTTTAAGTGGTTAAATTTCAATAAATTTTCAAAACTTCTAACTTCACACCTTAAAGATCAACTTTGTCTTGAAGTATTTTTTATGATCAAAAGCTGTAAGAAGAGCCTGCTTTTGAATGTGACTCATTTACATAAGATAGAAAAAGTATCCGCAAGGGTTCAGATCAACTGGAGGCTTTTCACAAGACCACTCAGTGACCCCTTGGGCTCTAAAAAGGGGGGGATGTCATCCTTGAAGAGATTTCTCACATCAGGATAGAGGTGATCACTCAGAATTACTTGATGTGCAGTAACCCTCTCCTCTAAGGAGACAGGTGGGGCTAAATCATGCCAGCGAATTGTCCCTGACAGCATAACAGAGCCACTGGATCCCCTCACCACAGAGGTCGAGGGTTCAATGTTTCACTTAGCCCACAAATTCAACACAGGTCATTTTATCCAACTCTAAATATCACCTGTACTGGATCACCCTTCCATAAAAACTGCAATTCTACACATGAAATCCACACAAGAGTAGCAGAAATGTGATTTATTGTAGCAAATAACATTGGCTAGATTTCCTGTTCTACAAAATGGCAAGGGCACCGGAAGCATTTAAGATTCAAGAAAAGGCTGTAAGAAATACACTCAATTAAGCTGATCAAAGTAAAAATTTCACAACCCGTGTGTCTCTCAATTCCTTCAGTCTCCTCCCGTTACCACTGCAGCTGTCGTGAATCTCCCAAGCGTATTTGCCGTTTACCGAATATTGACAGTCTGTGTGCAAATAGGTGTCAAACAAAAACTTCATATTGTATTGTGGCAATTCACAAACACATTTCATATCTCATTTATATTAAGCAGCCACCACATCAGTGTTTTGCATAAACTGCAATTCAATGTGCAAAGGAAAAAAAAAAAAAAAAACAAAAAGGGCTTGATGAAAGCAAGGCAAAGACTAGTGTAAAGTGCATTGGTCACATGCAGAAGAATAAGTTTGCATCCACTGCACCGCCTTCTCATTTTTACTGTTTGGAGAATATCTTAGTGTTAAGTTATTTACTGCCTTTTCAACCAAGTGTACAGTTTGTGCTTACTGATGCAATCCCCATATTAAGTGAGTGATGTTGTCATGTACAGACCAGGTTGTGAAACATAAACTAGTCTCACCACAAAATTTGAGATACAAAGAAAAAGTGCCTCCACCGTGACATGTGCTTTACTGGTCACTAACATACCTCAGTGACAAGCAAAGCACATTAGAAGTTTGGTAAAAGCCAACAAGTTTTTTTTGCACTAGTCTTTGTGCTGCCAAAAAACAGAGCCCTAAAAAAAGTGAATAAGTGTCAACACGGTGCTTGAATTTTTGGAGAAATCACACAAAAAAATATAATGCAGGTATTAACGGATATACAGTCAAAACTGATCCTCAACTATGAAAACCAAAAACGTTGAGGGCAGATCTGTCTTAATATACAACTGATCTTCATGGTCAGCGTTATCTAATGTAAGTCTCTGTGACATGTTTAATCAAATGTTAAATAAAACTAATAAAATAGGACATACAGTATGTTTGCTTGCAGATCACTGTGCCATCACTGACTTGTCCAAAGGTCAAAAGTGGCTTGTATAAACTTGGCAAGTACTTCTGTGTTCTGTTTGGGATAACTTCACATGGTTTTTGCATGATGTCTGACAACTGTAGCCGTCTCATAGGATCATAAAAACAGGCAAAGAAAAAGTAAAAATGGACAGCAGTTCCAACATCTTCAAGTCATTTTGCAGCAATACTTCATGTAGTTTTGGACATCAGAGTTCAGACTTCTACTGTCCAGGATTTTCAGCCCACCTGCCACTACAGGAAAAAAAAAAACAAAAACACAGATGATTACAACAATGTTCAGTGATCAAGAAATACAGCTTGTTGACATGGCACTAAAATAACTATCACCCTATGAAACCAATGTTTTCTGTCGGGTACATTATCTATCAAAACAGCAGTAATCATTGCCATTGTTTATATGAAAATACCCTCCAGGCATCAGTGCTAGTCACTGAAATGTCACATTTTTAATAAAAACTATTGTAAAATATTATTTGTAAATGTCACCCAGCTACACTGAGGTCAAATAAAAGAGAACTGGACTTGTCAGTAGTTTGTCAGTTGAAAAAAAGATTGTTTTCTTGTCTTGTGGTTCAGTATTTCTAAACTATCTGACAGACAACTGCATTAACAAAAATGAATTTGCACTTTTTTAAACAACTCTAAGTCACGAAAAAGCTAACACTGAAAAACGCAGCTGCCCAAGAAACATTTAAAAGCCAAATGTCCAATTATTTTTCATTCTTTGCAATTAGGTCGCTATTGGGTCGACGTTAATGGTACCCCACTCTTAGCAGGCACTTCATTCGAATCCATTATTTATCATAAATTAAATTGGCTGAAGCACAGAGCATGATTGACAAAAAAAAAATGCAACTACTTATTATCCCTGTTGTATCAATGTTCTGTTGTTTAAAAAAAAATAAAAATCACACAGCTTGAGGATAAACATAAAACTAACCTTCAATCCACCACCACCACCAGACACAGAGGTGGTCATCTCCTGTTTCTCAATTTCTTCCTGTTTTTTCCTTTTCCTCTCGACTGCTTCTGGATTTTTAACACCCCTGTATGCGGTCTGTAAAAATAGAACGGGATACGATCAAGCGTCAACAGTCAACGGCTTCTTTGGAAAATCTTACATTTTGTTTATGTGTTAAAATATCTTCAAGCAATCCTGAAAGCATGCATGTGTTTTTCAAGAGCATTTTTAGTTAGTTATTTTACCACAACCTTTTAGAAAACACAAGACAATCACAATAAGCAGGCGGGCATTCAACTGCCACATGAGGCAGTAAAGGAAAAGGATGGAGCGGCTACTTTCAATAGCGCTGTGCTGCTTACTGAGACATGACTGTGGGTTAAGGCTCGGTGCGTGTGAACTGTCAGGGTGTCAGGGGATTTAAAGATGGAAACAGTGACTTGGAGCGGAAAGTTGTGGTAGTTGAGGTATCAGCCAAGATTCACCTGGCCAAGAAGAGTTTTTCTTCTGGTCCATGTCTGCTTACCTTGACATAACTCTAGCATGCCTCTTACGGGTTTGCAAGTGGCTTTTCTGCACAATGAAAAATTACTCACCACAATGTAAAGTAGTTCTGCCTTAAACGGGGTGCATGTATTGAGTAAAAGGCTACAATGTTTGACTACGCTCAGTAACTAGTAAAGCTGCAATTAACATTCATTTTTCCCTGTCAATTAATCAGTTGATGTTTTCTCAATTATTCAATGAGTTATTTGGTATAAAATGTCACAATATGGTAAAATAATTATGACCTACGTTTTCCAAAGCCCAAGATGAAGTTATTAAATGTCTTGTTTTGTTCACAACCCCCCAAAATGTTGTTTATTTACACTGAGGAGTAAAGGAAGTAGAAAATATTCACATTTAAGATGCTGGAATCGGACAATTTTGACTTTTTTTTCCTTTCAAAAATGATCATCAAAATAGTTAATTCAATAGATGACAACTAATTGATTATGTCGATTAATCATTGCAAGTTACCACATTTCTGATTATTTCATTTTTTGGTGGAACTGCTTTATAGAGGTGTTGTGCTTATGTCTATCTGTGAGGATGTGCTGTGTTATGCTGGGAGGTATTTCTAATGAGGGCAGATGAAATATTAGAAGCACCTCTCAGCATACAACACTGTACAACACCAAAAATTAGTCAACAATACCCTCATGATGGTAGAACTGAGCGCAAGGCTGATGTATTATGATACATTAGTTGTAGCAAGATGTGTCTGATGATCTGGCAGGTATATCAGCACATAGGTTTATCAGTATTTTAGCACTTGACATGTGGACAATATAAGAAACCACTTCTAACTTACCTCTTTTTGTCTCTTCTCTGCGGCTTCGGCTAACTGTCGTCTCCTTGTCTCCTGTTAAACACACAGAAAACTTGTGAGCTAAAAGTGTAAACAGACTGTCTTCACCAAGTTAACCATGTTGGGCCTGGAGCATAGTCAACATGCCGCCGTGAACACAGTCAACGCCTCCTCCACACTACACGGTTAGGGCCTAATGGTGTCCTGCCCATGGTGAACCCATTTCACAGTTCATTTAAAGCAATTCTTCCTTTATTTTCAACACAAAAACGACACCCTGCCCTCTCCAGTGACACTGCTGCTAATAAAAGTTGTAGTAAATGAACTTACAGGATCTGGAGTGACAACAACGTCGTCCGCTGCTCCACCAAGGCACGGTAAGCACATCCCCATACTGGATTTATTATTCCAGGCAGTAAAAGGCAACGTAGAAAATTAGTTTTAATGGTCTCAGATACGCCTAACTAGCTGCCTAACTAGCTGGTAGGCCCGTCTCAAACTGATAGTTAAGGCAAAAGAAGCAGCAGCTTCTAGTTCCAGCGGCCGCTGCTGGATCATCTGGCATAACGCTCCCAGCTAGCTAACGGTCCCAGCGGATTCTGTTAGCAACATTAGCATTCTAGCTAAAGGCTAGCGCTACCACTACAAGCCAAGTTAGCTCTGCGAGCGGCTCAGCTATTTACTTGTCCTCACACCTCTTGTTTAATTGCCGCGGCATTTGGGAAATAGCTGCTTGGAAGTCAGACGACTAAGCCGAATATTTCTCCCTCTGAGTTTGTTTTGGTCCGAGTTCAGCTGGCTGACAAATCTGCTAAGGTACGTTCAATAACGTCAAGGTACGTTACTGCTACGTTTTTAGCTAACATGCTATAAACACAAGAAGAACCGAACTGTAATAGTGGCAATAAAAAGACCACACGATTACTACTGTTTTTCAAAGTTGGTGAAACTTAAATACTGTTGGTCCTATCTGTTTGTGTCCATTGTATAATAATGTGTGTAGGAGGACTTTGAACGTAACTAGCTGATGGTGGGGGGGATGCTTCAGTCGTCCTCTGATCCAACAGCACCACCTGCTGCTACAAGATGAGACTAGATAATAATCACCATGGTAACGACTGTATCCATCACCACTCTTACTACATTACTACTGATGGCTGGAATGAGCGTAATCATCCATGACTTGCACAGTAAATGTCCTGGATTCATTACCCTATTTTTAAAAAAACAACTACTGGACTATATGTGAGATAAATGTGATTTGTGGGAGAAAAACTCAATAAAATACTTATTGAAATGATAAAAAAAATTCTAACAAACAAATGGCTCCCCAGTGTATTTAGCTTAAAGGACAACTGATCAAGTCAATCCTGCCTCTGAGAGAGTAGCTTTGCTGTCCTCTCTTGTTACAAATTATTGTCAGTTACATAGACTAATGAGAAACCTCTGTGTGAAGTGAGTGATGCTCCATACAGCAGTTCTGTCCAATCAATATCCTACAATCAATAGTCTGAGAGTTTAATGTTGTACCCCTCTTTGCCTGACAACACTTCAAACTCCACCCATTCATCTTCGCTGTTGCGTCCAGGCTATTTCACAGCTCAAAGTGCTGCACTGTGGGAATGACAGGTCTGTGAGACTGCATAGCTTTAGCAGTTGTACAAGTGACCGATGAGAAACTTATTACCGAGGTGGGATTTATTCTGAAGGTGCAATGGAAGTCACCGTGTCATGGAACCGTGGCACCTCCTCAGGTAGGGTTAACTCACTTCAGAAGGAGCCACTTGGGGTTTATAGTTGGATATGGTTTGATAGTAAAACTGCAGCTGGATGTAAAGCTAAAATGATTTCATTTAATACTGTCTTAGTTTATCTGGTTGTTTCTCTTGTTTCATGGTTTGGTGTTTCTTAAAAAGTGTTTATATTAGCACTATATTTGAAAAAAAGTATTATAATAAGCAATTTACTTGTAGCATGTTGGAGAATATTCAGCTTTCATGTTGTTTCTCTGACTTTTTCTGTTACGCAGCCCAAATCAAACAATCCGTGTGCATTAATTATGTACTCAACAGACATAGTAAAGTACACGTGGTAAACAATAGACAATTATAATGCTCATTCTGTCAGGATAAAAGCTGAAAATACTGTAAAAGCTGCATGTATAGCTAATGAGTGCAGACAACTTAAGTATGTACGAACCATACGGCTAATCTACTTGATGAAAACAGAGCCGTCTGGATTAATTAATTAATGATGTGTGATTTTGAATGCATGAATGAACAGGCGAGTTAGTGAAGCTACATTAGCCAGTAATAGTTTTGTATGAAGGGCACCAAAATGACGCTTCTTTCACGGCATTTTCTGTAAATGTGGAACAGATTAAGCTGTCATGCCTGTACATTTAATTAGAATATTTATTACATAGGGTACTTTATGGGCCTCTCTGGTGCACAGGTTAAGTTTATCGCTGGCATGTCAGCACAGCACTCAGAAAAGCTCACTGTGATGTTGTGGTGAAACAACCACAGACTGGAGAAAGGAGAGCGTGACTGTTTTCTAGGGAAATCCAGCAAACATGTCCGGCGTCATTCAGTTTAATGAGGTAACTAATGCATGAATGCCGTGGCTTTAAATAGCTGCTTTAATCATCACTGCCTCGGGCTAAGTTGAAAATGGTAAACACTGTGGCTATTTCTTGACAGCTAATAGGACAGTGTTTTCATCCATGTTGAGCCATGTGGATAATGCTCAGTAGTGTACGGAGTCACTGACAGGGCCATGGGGGCAAATTGTAATGGGGTGGCTGCGCAGGAAGCAGCATGAAGTGGTCACAAATCATCAAGCCCTCAAAGTCGGTTTGTATCTTGCTCCATGGCGAGAATTTTCAGAAAATATGATTTAGAATTCAGTTTATGATCAATCCCTGCTTCCTGAGCATTGATTAGTACTATAAAATAAAGCTCAGCTGTGTTCACTGATAACTTTGCGTTGGAACTTTTACACTAACTTTATTTTTGGAGAACTAGACAGTTTGAGGTGAATCTGTTGGAGTGAAGAGCATTTCTTTTTCTCACTCTCTTTTTTTATGGGAATTTTTTGTGGGTATTTTGCAACCATGGCACTGGTCAAGGTACTGTCTACAGGCTCTAATAGCTGCTTCCTAATGCAGTTTTCATCTGAAGTAGCCCAGTGTTTTACCTGCACACATTGGATAAGATAGAAGTGGGCGTCTTATGACTTCATCGAAACATTTATGTGGCCCTAAGTGATCTGTGCTGAGTAACGTAAACTGTTTAGGGGATGTAAAGCAGATATACCAGCCATCATGTAATGGAAATATTGCAGTGTAAATGCCCACTACCCTGATCTACACCCCCTTTGGCTTACACTTATTAAGGTGATAAACACTCATGCCCTTTTTATTTAATTAACAGCTAGAAAGGATGTATATCTGCTGCACTCAAACTAAATTCCATTTATATTATCAGCTGTCTCCAAATGATGCTGCACATACATCGATTACATTATACCATCACCTAAGCTTATTCAAAGTCCTGTATGTGTTTGTGATATTTGTTCCAAGGTAGTAATTTAGTCATGCTAATGGTGTTTCCCAGACAGTCTGGCTGTGGCGCTGATGCTTGGATAAATTATACTTTTACATGGTAATGGAGTCACACTTCGCTCGACATCTCGTCATAGATTTACGGCTGTTGGAGGGAAGACTTCAGAGACACGGAGCTTAGAAATGTATTTGTTTAAATAAATAATCAATGTGCCAGGAAGTTCATGCAGGAAGTACCTGCTCATCAATCGATTTAAGTAATGTCCGTATAGTTTTGAAACATTCAGGATCGCATATTGCTGCACTTAGCCGGCACAACATTAATGGACACAAGCACATTTTAGGCCATGGGGTTTTTTTTCTGACCAGTTGCCCAGAGCCTACATGTAGCAGTTTCTTCCATCTCTTCAAGTGTAATGATCTCTTTAATGGCAGATATTGTGCGTGTGTCAGTGAAACCAAAACAAACTGAACACATTTAAAACTTGGCACCATTGGCATTCTGTATGCAAAATGTCTGGCAGCAAAGTTTACTTTATTTACTGGCTCCATCACGAGGAGATGCTGAAGGGAGATGTCGCTGTTGAACCTGTGGAGAGTCATTTCTGAGAGGAAACTGTTGGTGAGTCATGATGTTTGGACTCAGAGTGCAGCCCCGTGGCTCTTCCTGTTGGTCTTAATAAAGCTGAATGCACACACGAGGCAAGGAGCACACATCAGCGCACACTGAATACAAATATCAGATGGTAGATGGTATTTTTCTATTTTAAAACTAATTACAGTGCACATTATGTGCTAACTTGGTTAACCGTGGCAGTGACCTGTTTAGAGTTAAGGATGGGATCCTCCATATTACATAATTAAACAATTTCTACATCGTGAAGGCTTTGACGGTTTGCAAAATGAGTAAAATATTTGAAAGTATAACGTGCCTTAGGGCGTTTTCTTATTATTGAACTCATTATTCCTCATTCTGAATGTCGAAGGAGCTAATGTTTATTTTAAACACTGTTGATGTTCTTTTTACATATGGTTCAGGGTTGAGAATCACCAACTTATTAATATAGTTCTCAACATCCACATTAATTTAAATACTTAATTTGTAGCTGAAAGGGGCAACATTACACAATGGTGCTACCCTTTGTATTTGCAACAAGTACTGATATTCAGCCAGCTAAGTGTCTGCAATTTCAACAAATATTTCTTAAAGAAATCAGAGGAAACCGTCCATCAACATGTCATGTGTACAGTATTAAATGTCTTGACATTTCTGGCAGCTTAACTGTTACACAGTTGATTTTGGAGAGCAAGCTGCTTTATTGTTCCCCATTAGTGTCAAGTATCAGCGTGCAAAAAGGAATTTTAAAGAGGTGTTAAAAATGTATGAGTGCTGTAACATTAGAGGGATAAGTAGAGAGCTGGACCGCTGTGATCACCTTCGAAATTCACTGATCCGAGCATACGTGCTACATTTTCCCACTGATAACCTCCACAGCCAGTGTGATGGTTTGAGTCAGATCAAAGAACCAGTAAAAAAGCTTGAACGTGATGTCACTCTTTGATCAGTGTTTGGGATTTTTTATGAACGTGCATGTGTGTGTGTGTTGCAGGATCATGTCATCAGGACAACTGCATGTTCCTTCCCCTGCTGGAGGATCAGGCCTCCAGGCGCTCTCCTATCAATGCCAACATCAGCCACTCAGTGTCCTGGAGCTCTTCGCTTGCCAACAGTTCCCACTCAGGAGGCACCGAGACAGAGACCGACCAGCACTCTGGTGAGTTTGCAATCAGTTCTTGGGATGTTTGCAAACATATTACCAATCTGAACCCTGTTTGTTTAGCATATCCCTCCACATCTAAAGTGTATATAAAATATTAGATTCATGCCGAAAATTAAAGCTGCCTGTTTGATAAATATCGACTTGTCTTACTCATTGACCTCTTGATTTTACTATTGAGAGTCACAATAAATCTGTTGGTCATTTAGTATAGCGGCAGCATTATGTTGAGGCCACTGGACATCCAATATCCTCAAATAGAGGTGAAACAATTTGTTAATCAATCAATGAGACAGCTTAAGGGTCAACAAAAAATGAAAATCAACTTTTTTGAAAAACGCTCTTTCTACATTTTTTTTTAAATGTGAGGATCCACTGGTCTAATCTTTGCAAATTAAGTATATTCGAGTTTTTGTTAGGGCTCACAGCTATAAAATCCCCGCGTCGCGCCCTAGTTAGGACGCCTGGGGTATTTT